CCGACAACATCCCCAAAACGGGCTCCCCACCCCTCCTTCCTGCAGCTCCACAGGCCGGGACCTTGTACAAAGCACCTTTATCCCAGGCCAGGCCAGGAGATGGACTAGCTGGGAAGCGGGAGGGGGGGGGAGAAAGAGGCACAGGACCTCAGCAGAAGCCCTGCTTAAACCAGTCCCCCTCCCTGGGTAATCCTTGAGGGGTCTCGGAGCGCACGCGGGTCGGAGGGAACAGCCAGATGGGCTGAAGGCGGAGGGTGGCAACGAGGCTGGAAAAACACGGTCCCGTTGACCCAAAAGTAGCATTCTGGTTTTTAAAAAACACACACCCAAAAACACATACGCCCCACCTTGATAGAAACAGAGCTCAGCCTTGTCAGGCACGGCTCCTCCGTCCTCAAGGAGGGACGGATCCTGCTATAAAGCGAGGCCATTTGGGGCACCGTGATCGGGTGAAACAAAACCACCCTAACACAGAGGGCATCTTCTAAACTCCAGCACAGAGAATTGCAGTCATCTCCGCACCCGAGCGCGCGACTGGCTACAGATGCAGTCAAGGCAGAGGAGAATCAGCATCGCCTGAGGGTTAGCTAACCTGTTGGTTAGCAAGCATCAGAAAACACACAGACAGGGAGCAAAACTCCACCGAAAACATGCCCGGGAAGGACCAGCAGGGCTCCTGGCAGCCCGACCCTTGGGCCTGCTCTCTGCGCAGCACCAAGATCTTCTCTCCCAGCTTCAACCCCCGAGAGGCAAGTGAAAAACTAACAGATTTTATGCACCATAAACTGAACAAGACTCGTTGGCTGAAGCTGCCACGAGGGTCTCTGTTGCTTTCACTGCAAAGCAGCAGTGCCACTGGGAAAGCGCCAAGCGTCCGACGGGTCCTCCCAGTGGGCTTTCCACTTTGCATCTGCCATTATTTATTAACGCCCTCGCCCATTTTTCTTTCCTCTTCTACATTCCCAGTGGCCAGGGAACTCTTGTCATAGGGCTGGCCCAAATGAATTCCAATTAGCAAATTAAGTGGAAGAGCCACCGTTAACAACCCGCAACAGCGACGCCACCGCCACACGCTAACCCATCTCTTCTGGAATCAGAAGAGACGCAGGCACTGAGCGGAAAGCCCTCTTGAGAAGGACATACAGTACACGAAAGCAGCGGGGCTGGGGCTGAGATGGCCAGTGGGCAAGGGCTTCCCAACCCCCCTCAGGTGAGTGAGCAAGGGAGGTGGCTAAGAAAACGTGCCTGGTGCCTGGACCAGCCCTGAAAGAAGTGGCCTCTCTTCAGCTCCCCTGGCAAATCGGCACCCAGGGCTCTTTCTTGACACCATCAGGAAAGATCACATCCATTCCGTCCTTCGGTGGGAAGCCAGTGGCCAAGTGCTTTCCCCCAGCAACACAGTGCAGCCACAGGGTCAAAGCCATAGGGTTTTCTAGTAGCCAGGGCTATGGCATCCTTTGCATGGGCACGCATGCACACACAAACACACAATTTCAGGCTTCTCTGTTCTCGCCCGAGCCGAGCCACAACCCTCCCCAAGAGGGAAGAAGCAGACATTCCCAGACACAGTATATTGGTGTTCCATTTTAATGCCAAGTTTTTTTGGGGGGTGGTGGTGGTGGTGGTAAAGTTTTTTTGGCGGGTGGTGGTGGTGGTCTGATCTTGTAGGAGCAATTAAGAGCCATTTACTTTACAAAAGACCTGCCCCCTGGCCGTTTGTTCATTCGGATTGTCGCCTGCGTTTTTGGTCTCTACTTCAGGACCACATTGGCTACGGGGACTCTCCTGACGAGCATCCAGGCTTCAAGGTTCCCCCCTCCCCATGCTGGTGCTTGGCCCTTCCCGGGACTCAGGCCAGCCCGTTTCCCACACGGTCTCGGGCAGCCCCGAAGGAGGACCGAGGACCCTGCCTCACCTGATAGAGGAACCGCTGGCTGAACTGCTGCATGGCCCCCTGGAGCTGGTTGCGCTGACTCTGCCACTGCTCGTAGTTGCGCACGTACTCGGCGGTGGGGCGCTGCCATGTGGTGGTGCGAGTGTTGTGGTCCACGTAGTAGCACCTGCCCCGGGGGTCGACGCGCTTCTCCCAGCTGCGCAGACAAGGGGAGCCTCGTCAACAGCCCACAAACCCTCTCCCCGCTCGACACCCCCCACACACAGGCAGGGAAACAGTGCTTCTCCATCTCTCTCTCTCTCTGTCCAGGGGCCTGCCCTTCGCCAAGGCCAGCGGCAGTTGGGGGTCCGGGTTCAAGTTCTGCTTTGGGCAGGTACGCTATACAACCAAGCCCTTTCCACCCACCCCAGGGATAAAGACAGGCAGGAGGCTCTGGAGGCAGCGCCTAGCCTTTGGGACAACTGACACCGTCCCACAGGACAGGAAGCTCAAATCGGGGTGGGGTGTCCTCTTAGACTCGGTTTGTATCTGTAGAACCGCATGACCCAAAGCACTCTGCAGCAGGTGCGGATCAAGCCTCTGGCAAAGAGAGCCCTCCTGGGCAAAGAGGGTCCAGCCATGGGGATCGGCACACCCAGACGATCACGGAAAGGTGCTCTCCGTGGGGCTTCCCTTATAGACAGCTCAGATCCTGCCATGAGCTCAAGGCAAGGCAGGTGGGCGACTCCTGGAGACCCACTCTGTGGAACACATCTCGACAGTCTTAGAACAACTGCAGAAGTTGAGGGCCCGTTTTTGGACAGAAGCCAAACAGCTGGCCAGCCTTCTGCCAAACGAACATGCCTGTGGACTCCCTCTCTATCTCCCTGTCGCCCTTTTTTGCATGATTCCTCAAGGGAGGCCTTTTCCCCCCCCGGCCCCTCCCGCTTCGCAGGTGTGTTTGGTGGGGAGCTGGTTTGTCTCGGTGCCCTTACCCTGGTGGAAGAGGGCGCTCCCAGGTGGTGGTCTTGGTGTTGTGGTCCACATAGTACACTCTCCTGTTTGGCAGCTCCCGTTGCTCCCACCTTCAGGAAAGGAGGGAAAAAAAGACAGGCAGAGGGTGGAGGAGTGGTTAAGGGCGCAGGGGAAGGTGGTGGCGTGCCCCCATCTGCCGTGAGCCCAATGCCAGGTTCCATGCTACCATTTTCCAGCCTGCAAGGAACTTAGGAGCTGTCGTTCCAACAGACGGGAGTTGAACAAGTCTGTCTGAGACCCAGCCTCCCAGATGCTCACTAACTCTGTTCTGGGAGCTGTTATCTGGAAAGAGGGCATTTTCTAACCGGTAGAAACATGGAGACTTACCCAAGCCGCCCCCCGTGCACTTCCTGGATGGACACAGGTTTAAGCCCTGAGTGTTCTAAACGCCAGGAGCCCAATCCTTTGGCGCAGCGCTAGTCCAGCTGTGCCAAACGGATGGGTGCTTAGTCAGGCTCTGGGACCCAAACAATCTTGGGAATGGGGTGGGGAGGGAGGGGCTTCCAGAAGGCATTGGGGCCTCTTCATTCATTCCATGCTGGCCAGTCCGAAAGATCTGCAACAGCAAAGGTGGGAATGGACCCCCGTTGCTCCAAGAACTGCCTGCATATTTAAGACTTGGAAGCATGAATTTAAAAAAAAAATCCTAATATAGGATTAAATCCAATTCCTAGTCCCATTTGGAACTAATATAAGGACAGGAAGCTGCCCTCCACTGCAGAGGCTACTGGTCCATCTCCCCAGTTTTGACAACTCTGACCAGCGGCAAGGCCTCATACCTCGGGAGAGGGAGAGTTAACCTAGCAAGCGGCAACGGGTCTCAAAGGTTACAGGTCAAGACGTGGTCCTACCCCTGCCTGGATCGAGCCCAGAAACGTTCTACGTACGAAGCAGGAGAGCCACTGCTTAGCTACAGGTGCCTGGATTTCAGAACGGCCAGTTATGGACCTGCCCACCTCTCAAGTCCCTTGTTCCCCTCTGGTTGGAACCTCTGCACAAATTTAGGCCCTCAATTCTCAGGATGTACGAGACCAAGTTACAAAGCATGACGGCAGAGATGGAGAACCGAGGAAAAGCTGCCTCTCTGAAATTCTGCGAGGTTGGAGATTTCTCTGCCAGCAGGCCTGCCTCCTCTCCAGAACACCAGACACCACGATTTGGGTCAAGAAAGCAGCCACCCAGCCGGCTAGCTATGCAGCTGCTCAGCTCGCTCGCTGGCCCGCCTGCCCCTTGGCGATGTTGGCCCCAGCTGCTGCTGCTGCAGCACCCGCTGCTGCTCCTTCATGGGGCAACGGCGGGGCTGGGGTAAGCCTCCCATCCAAGCAAGACGCCTGGTCTTATGTAAGGAACCACAGCCCGCCCTTGGCTGCCAGGCAGCATAATGCACCCCTTTGTGTGCGCGAGACCAGGCGCGAACTGCTGTATGCACCGTGTTAATGAGGACGGCTGTCCCCCATCCAGGAGCTTTCCTGATAGGAACCAGATGCGGGGTGGGGGCAGGGGTGGGAGGAAGAGGCTGCTTTGCCGTCCACCCCAAGGAGAGGGAGGGTGGGTGTGCGTGCATGCGTGTGTGTGTGACAGCAGAACACTCCCCTCCACGAGGGTGCCGGCTCTGCACCCCTTCTGGTCCGGCTCCCCGGAACAGGGCTTCCATCTGGAACGGTTTTCCCCTACGGGCGGAGCCCCACGGCCTCCTGCTCCTCCCGCTCCAGCTGCCTCTGAAAGGTCTTTGTGCTTGCCACGTGGAGCGCAGATGTGGACAGAGCGTGGCGACGCAGGGAGAAGGAAGGGCCGTCAGCCTTACAGCAACCCTCACCTCGGCAGAAGCCCTGCTTGTGGCTGGAGGCATGCGCTCGGCCCCGCCAAGGAAAACACGGCGGGGTTTGCTAACGGGAGCAAGAGCTGAGAGCCGCCACGGCCATGCCAGCCCAAGGCCAGCCTTGGAAGCCTCCAAGGGCTTGGCCCCATCAGAGGGGCCAAGAGGCCCCCCTCCAGCCACAGAGGGATCTGGGGGTAGGAGAGAGGGAGGGAAAGTCAAGGGGAAATGGGGCCTGCACCCTCTTGGCGCACAGCCCTCCACCACCCCCGTCACCAACTCCTGCTATAGAGGGGTGGACCGTCTATACCGTGCGTATCTTCCAGGAAGGGTGTTGAGGCTGTGAGCAGGGATCGGGCCTTTCTTGGGCCCCCAAGGAGCAAAGTGGAGGGGGCGGAGGGGGCCTTGCCCTCCTGGACCGCAGGACATGAGTGGAAAGTGGGCACACCAGGCAGGGAGGGGTGAGCTCCAGAAGGAAGAAAAGAGCTTTCTGAGAGGCCTGGACTTTTCCAGCTGCCTGCAAACAGGAAGTGGCTGAGGCCCCAACACAGTAGCGCTCACACGCCCGGCATAAAGGAGCACTGAGCAACCCCATGCCAATTACCTGTGAGCGCGTGCACACACACACGCGCACACACACACACACACACGTGTATGTGTGTGTGTGTTTGTGTGCCTACACACATGCATGAGAGAGAGACTCTGAAGCCAAGGCCAGAAGGAAAACAAACAGCTCCCTTCATCAGAAACACAGGAGGCTGTGGAAGCAGGCTGGAAGGGCATCTGGCCTCGAAAGGAGCCATGTGCTGCGAGGGCACCAAGCAGGGAAGTTCAGGAGAACGAGCCACGCACTGGGGGGGGGGCAGGACCAAGGACCTCTCCTGGGGGGGGAAAGCGTGCAAGGCCACAAGGACCCCTCCCCCCCAGCCTCAAAAAGAGAACGGCCAGGATGGGGGTCAACGCCGTGAAGCATCCCTGGAAGATTGCAGAGACCGCTCCCCGAAAGGATCCCCTCAAATCTGGGTCTCTTCTTTCTCCCCCGATCAGGGCTCCCTTTCTCCTTAAAATCTCAGGAATCCCCAACATGGTCCATGTTCTCCCGATCACGCCCTGCCCTTCACAGGTCCCTTTCTCCCAAGCACCCATGAAGGCTTCCCAGGGCGTCCCCTTGGGAATCTTTAGACACCGGACTGGCAAGGTGGCCTTGCCACCCTCCCTGCCACGGCTGCAGGCGGAAACAGGCGGAGAGCTGCCGGGGCCGAGGGAGGCAGCGAGTCCACCTTCCTGGCCCGACGAGAAAAGAGGAGCTCCCTCCCTCTCTCCGCAGACGAGCCTTCCACACCATCATCCTCTGAAACTCGGAAGCTAATGGCCAGTCCCTGCCTCTCACGCCCTGGTCCAGCTCCAAGGAACAGCAGCCAGGTTCGTGGGGGAGACCGAGTGAGGGGGGGGTGCCACTTACCCGGGGGGCAGCGCGTCCAGAGCTTGGCCGGTGGGCTGGGACGGCTGGCTCCCTGAAGCAGGATTAGACTCCGCTGCCACCGCCACCGCCTCAGGAGCTGCGCCAGAGTCAGGGGGGCCGCTGGAGGCAGCTGCGGGGGCCACAGCCGGTTCCTCCTCTGTCTCAGGAGCCGATCCAGAGGACTCCCCGTTCACTGGAAGGACAGGGCAGGGCAGTCAGGCCAGGCCGGGCCGGGCCGGTGGTGGTCATCTCTGGCTCTCCCTCTCCCACCACCACTACCACCCTCCTGCAAGGAGGCTCAGGTGGCCCACCAACGCTTCCCGGCCAGATTGATCCACGCGACTTATTGGGTTATGTTGGAAATGTAACTCTTCCCACCCCAGAAAGTAACTAGTTAAAGGTAACCGTGCTACTTGTAGCTTCCAGACCCTGAGTAGATCCAGACTTACTCTACATTCTGCTTACAACTCTGCTTTCAGGCATGGTTACTCAAGTATAAATGGGAAAATGAAAATCTTTCATTGCCTCTTAGTATTTCAAAGTTCTGCTTCCACCTGTATTGGGGGGCTGGGGGGGCGGCAGGGGAATGCCAGCTCTCCAGCAGCAAAGTAGAATTCAGGGAAGACTGCCTGGCCTTCGGGGGGGGGGCAAAACCAGCCAGGGCAGCTCTTCCACAAGCAAGGGAGGGCCTTCCTGCCGCCCCCACTTTGACTCTGACCTGTGCCGTTCACAGCGCCGCCTGGGGTCTTGGCTGCCTGAGGATGCCGGGCTCTGGGGCTTGGGCTCTGCTCCCCGTTGGCGATGCCCTGCCTGGCCGTTCCAGGCACAGGTCTGTTCGTCCTGTGGCAAAAACAGAGGTGAAAGGTTAGGCAAAAGGCTCCAGGACTTCTCTACCTGGAATCTCCATTGTGAAGTGTCCACCTCTCAAATTCTCATTCTAGGCCAGTGGGCGAGATGCTGTCCTGCACCTTCTTCCACATTAAATTCTTACTCTAATTCTGCCCCAGGACTGTACTGATCCCACCAGCTGAACCGACAGACACACACAGCTTCTGCGTACAATTCCTGGGGGTCGAAGCAAAAGAACCGTGGAGGGCGCAAGGAGCTCTGATTCTTCTCTCCCTTTCTCACTCACACACCACGAGGTTTCCATTAGCAAGCCATAAGGACTAGAAACAGGCAGGGAGGACCCAAGGGGAGAAGAGGAGGCTCTTTGGGTGAACCTTTTTTGCATTTCTTCACACTGGCACAGCAAAGAATTTACCCTTAGCAGCCGAGAGCGCACAAGGCCATCGCTGGCGCTATCTAGCTTGTTCCAGCGACGGCTCGGGAGGCTCAGGCTCCACTCTCCACTTAGTCATGGAAGTAACTCACAGGGCTGTGCAGGAGGTTTCAAAAATCTAGCATCATTAAAGAAAGTCCTGCTGGAAACCAGGGAGACCTGGTGCCAATCTGCTGGCAATTCCCCCCCTCCAGCTGCAGGGCTGTGTGGATCCCCCCAAAACAGACCCCCCCCCGGATCTGCAGCCCTTGGGCTCACCCCGGCTGGAAGAGCCAGTGACTCTTCAAAGTGGGGCAAAGTCAGATCCATTCCTTTTACAAATGTGCCTCTACCATACACAAAGAGAGGTTCCCACATCACAGAGTAGTCTATGTCTAAATGGGCGGCATATAAGCTCAATAAATAAATAAATAAATTTCCTCCAAGGGTGAGTGAGGGCTGAGTTTGGCACAGATGAGGCACCGACCGCCATCTCTGGAAATGGGCAGAAAGGAAGCTTCGGTCTGCACGTCATCCCCTTTTGGTGACAAAAACCTCCAAGGGGATCTTGCATTCTGCTTTGTGCATGTATGTGTGTGTTTTTAGAAACTCAAAAGAGGCCACTTCCGGTGCCTCTCCCGGCTGTCGCACGGACTGGGCAAGCTCAAATTAGCCCTCCTGCCGAGACCGCCTTCTCCTCCGGCAGGGCTCCTAACGTGGCCTCACCTTTTAATAGCTGCATGGATGGAAACCAGGAGGAGTCACGTGGCCGGGCGTCCACAGAGCAGCCCTCGCTGCTGCCTGCTCAAAACAGGAACAGGGGAAAGAAAGGGGGCAGAGGCTGGCAGTGGGAAAAGCAGGTAGGGGGGCAGTCGGAGTTGGGGTGCTTGGAAACAAATTGGGGGGACAGGGAGAGACACACAAGGCCGATTCCAGGCAGAGAAGGAAAAGCCCAGTGCTGTGGAGTCACTGAGCAGAAGCCAGCTCCCCCAATTCGGCCTACGCCTCCTTGGGCCTGAGAACCAAGCAAGGGGAAGGAAGCAGGAGCCTAAGGGCTGATGGGCTGCCAGAGCCACGGTTCAAAGCCGGGAGTGAGATGGGGTTCAAGAGAAGGAAACCATATCCCTGTTGCCCTGCCCAAGGGGCAAAATAAATAAATAAAAAATTAGCCCTGGCCCGAGGAGAATGCAAGAGATCTCTCCAGCGTGGGAGAAAAGAAAAAATGGCCGAGAGGCAGACGAAACACTGGGGCAGCCCAGAAGATTCCCACCTCTACCCTGGGGGAGCTTCTCCTCCTCATTCACTCCTCCGTCGCTTGGGAAACCCGCCATCCCCTCTGGGCCCAACAGAAAGGCAAACCCAACAGGAGAGATCTGGCAGAGACAGTTCGGTCGCAGCCAGGTGCGGATCCCCTCGTTTGGACTGGGCACGGCCGGCTGGCAGCTGCTGCCCCCACCCAGCACGAGGTGGAGACATTCCTCCCACCAGTGAGAAAGGACAGAAGCTGCGGGAAGGGACACCGGCCCAGATGTGCCCTGGCCTTTATCTGGAAGGACGCGGGAGGGCAGGCTTGTTTGCCTGCCATTTACAAAAAAAACCCCTCCCTCCTCCTTTTAGGAATGCCTTCTCAGAGCACGTAAGAATTTGCCACACACCCTCCAGAAAAAGGTTTCGCTCTCCTCAAACAACAGCAACTCCCCCGTCGGAGGTGCCAGCGTTAGAACAAGGGCTGTGCGGCTTCGTTGTGGGCCTCCTGGATGCCTTGCGAAAAGAATTTGCCACACAAACGAAACGTGGCAGAGCAAACCGCGAAGCAGCTCGGCGTTGCTCCCTGAGGAATGTGGCACCCAGTCTCTGTACCTCTGACAGGCCCCCGCCAGGGGCCACCAGGGGCGAGAAGCCAGGAAGGGCCGAGGGAGAAGCAGGTGGGGCTGGGGGCGAAGACTGCCCATTCCTCTAAGCCCCACATCAGCACGAATAAAATGCACCCTAGGCGCCTCCCCTGGAAAGGAGAGGATCCCATTCAGACAGGGAAGCCCACGGGTGCCTGGACAGGCAGCCAAGAGAGGGATGAATCCAGCAAGGGTGTTCCAGGCTCGCGTGGAATCTGCCCAGTCAGGACCGGTGAAAAAGGGTGGCGTCTGTTCAAGGGGTCAGGAACTGGAGACCGCTGCAACTGGGCTGCTCCAGCCCCACACCAGGCTCTGCCATCATATCTCAGAAAGAATGAAGTCCCTAGACCTCATGGGCACATCGAAAGCCCCGAGGAGCACCAGGTGAGATGGGGCGCGTTAGAGAGAGAGAGAGAGAGAGAGAGAAGAGGAGCACCAGGCGAGATGGGGCGCATTAGAGAGAGAGAGAGAGAGACAGAATGGCTGCTTGAAGGGACCGGACTTTCCAGACACCAGGAAGGCGCACAGTCTGCAAAGCCCAAAATTGGAACTCCTCTCGCCAGCAACGGCTTCCCACAGCATCCTAAAACAGCTATGCCTTCACGGCTCAGGGCTGCCACCCTCCTTTTCTGTCACAGACAGGAAGCAGCCAGCCTCCCCCACCCCAGCAAACACACACACACACGCGTACAGCTAGGCTATTAAAAACCTCTCCCGCCCTCCGCTGCTGCCCACGCCGAGCCTTCCGGGCCTTTTGCTTCTCTTGACTCTGCCTTGGCCAGAGTCTCTTCGCCCCTTCTCGGGCACCTTCTGCCCCGCTCGCCCTGGGACGACGCTTGTCACGGCCCCCCAGGAGAGCCTCTGTTTGGTGTCTCTCCCCTGCCCCCTGCCCCCCAGGCAACACAAGCCAAAAGCAGCAGCCGGAGGAACACTTACTTGGATCGGCCCCCAAAGCAGTGGGTGCTGGGGGGCGGGTGCCTGTTCTCCAAGGAGGACGTGGGGCCACCGGGCTCCCTCCCAGCCACCTGGGGTCCTGAAAGAAGGAAGGAAGGAGGGAGAGAAAAAGTTAGCAAGGGACACCCGCAGTGTGCTGATCAGCGGGCAGCGACCCTCCCTGCTATGCTCTCAGCTCAGCGGCCCATCCTGGCTTGGAAACAGGGCCTCTGCTGACGTGCTGCTCATCGGGCACGGCAGCGCCTCTTGGAAAGGCCGCCCTGCGCTCCAGAATGGGGTAAAGGAGGAAAAATACTAAGGATGGCTGAAGCTTGAGAAACAGATTCCAGATTGGAGGCAAATGAACTCCAAGGCCCTCAACTCAACCCCTCTGGACTTTCTGCGACTCAAGGGCCACGGAGAGCGTCCCAAGGTCTTCTGTTCGACACCCCCCCCAGGGTGCCCCTTCTGAAGCCGCTAGGTCCCCTTGGGAAGAGAGAGCCTCTCTGCAGCCCACCTCCCCTTGAGCCCCTCCCTCGACCGCTCTCTCCCAGGCCTGCAGGGACGACGGACGAAGGCCCTCCCTGGACCAGAGGACTCAGCAGGGTGGAAAGGGAGCCAGGCCACCCCCGGCCCCACCTCCCCACCGGAAGGAGAGGCATGTTTTGGCTTCGCTGGCCTGCTTCACAAGGGTCATCTCTCTGGGCACCGGGTCTCCCCCCCTCCCAAAGGCCAGGGACGTCCCGGGCCCCCAAAGCGGAGGCCGCCCCTCCACACGGTTCTCCTAAAAAGAAGGGGAAGAGATTCCCCTCGTGGCCGCTAAGCACCAGGCATCACTGCCTGTCTGGGCAGAGGGCACAGGGAGGTTGTATAGCTCAGACCGCCACCGCCCGCCCGGCCCCAACACCGTCGGAAGCATCAGCAGCCGGCCCAGGACTCTGGCGACCGGAGAGGCCCAAGGCGGAGACGCCCGCCGGCCGCTGCCCGGGGTGGCACTCACCCTCCACCAGGACGCTGCCGTTGGGCAGGCTTCCCACGTCAACACCGGGTCCGTCCAGGAAAAGCGTCAGCTCCCCGCCCGACACAAGGCTGCCTTTGTTCTCCATCTGCAGGTTCAGGATCAGCTGCTTGTTCTCCACTGAGAGAGGTGGCATGGAAGGGAACCGAGGACTCTCGTTAGCCATTTGGGGGGCTGGGGGGCTGGCCAGGCTTGCCTCTCTCTGGCCCACACCCTGACTAGTGCCTCATGCTTGCCCTGGGCTCACCCAGGACCGCCGCCACCACCACCACCACCGGGCCTTGCCCCACATGGGCTCTTTGGGGCCCACCAGGCCCAACTCTGCCTCCATCAGGCAGCTCACGTCACAGCCCTGGAGTGAACGGGCAAAGGTGGAGGAATCGGGCCCATGACGAGGCCAGGGCTTTGCTCTGCCCCTCCCCAGGGAATCGCCCTCACCCAGAGCCGGCATCTCTGCACTTCGGGAGACAAACGAGGTGGGGCGCCTCTCCCTTTCAGAAACCAGGCACCCGCCTTTGATCACACGAGGGTCGACTCCAACACCTCACTCTGCCCCCCCCATGTGCCACTCCACTCCCCCCACACACACAACCACCCAGGTTGGCTGGTCCCACTCTTCAGCACCAAGGGCAGCCACCCTAAGACTTCACTCTTGCTCACTCACACATACACACAGAGAGAGAGAGAGGACACACCTGTCCTCCTTGCACAAAGGAGCCTAACTGTTTTCTATGGGGAGCAGCAGCCGATGCTGGCCTCCCCCAGCCTTCCTGAAGGTTCCCGAAGCCTCTCCTTCGGCCTCCCTTGGACCAGTCGGGCAAGGAACCCCAGGGCTCATTTCCCCCAGCAGCTCTCAGCTCAAAACAGAACTGGAGGAACAAGGCGGCTCAGCAGAGACAGCTGGAGGCCACCATTTTTGCCCGTCAAGGAACAAGACTCCTCCGAGCATGGGCTACAACGTGCTTGGCGCTCTTCATACCACCTCGGTGCTCCCATTAAACTGAACCAGGGGCTGGGGGTCCGAAACACGCCAGCAAACACCCCTTCTGCCCTCTTCTGTCCTGGAGGTGGGTGCCCCAAATGCAGGGGGGTTTTGCCCCTTCCCGCCTCCTCCACCACCCTCCCCTGGCTGGCTGGCTGGCTGGCTGATACTGTACAGAGCCTCTTTGTCCTGCGTCAAGACAAGGTGTCTGTGTGTCTCTAGGCAGGGGCAAGGAACATAACTTCCCCCTCCCCCGGCTTTATTTAAGAAAATAAACACTCCCCAGCCCTCCCTGCAGCCATCCGCGGCGGCCCCAGCCCCGCACAGAAGGGACCTTGCTCTCGCCGCCACCACTGCCGCCGAGGGCCTCTCTGCCACCACGCACAAAGCCAGGTTGTATGTCGGCAAGCAGGGCTGTTATTCTCCGGGGGAGAGGCCGCCCTGGTCTTGAATGAGGCCTCAGTTCCCCGCTTTTTGTGCGGCTGGGACGATATGCGGCGCTCTCGTTTCTCTAGGAATTCCCACTCTGGCCATTTGAAGGACTCGCCCTTGCCAGAAGCCAGGAAGAAAACTCTTGCAGCAGTGGCAGTGGCGGCAGCAAGAGCATCCTTCTCCAGATCCAATGGGGAGGCCAGTCCCTGCTCCATGGCGGAGACACCTGGAGAGCAGCAAACCCAGCCTCCACCGCATGGAAGAAGCACAGAAGTCGTCGGCCGGCAAGCCAACAGCCATCAGTGAAGGAAGCAGAAAAGCAGTCTCCCAAAAAAGGCAGCCGGGGGTGGAGGGGAGAACAAGGAGTGACTTTCCTCTGTCTTTTTCAACAGTGGCTCTTTAGAGAAACTGGGCGCAAGGGCTGGGAAGGTTCCACCCAGAGAGACCTCAGCGACAGCATCGTAAAAGACATAAACTGTTCCATAGCAAAAGGTCTTAGATCCACTGATAAACCATGCATTACAGACAGTTCATCCTTAGAAGCCAACCTTGCTAAGCGTTTCAGAGACATGATTCCAGTAGACCTTTCATGACCGAGTCATCGCACATGCAAAGGAGGCTTCTGCTTACCCTCCAGATGATGAATCACAAAGCAAAGCTTAAAATTCCAGGAGGTGTGGAAAACTCTTGCTGTGATCATCAGATATTCTCAACATTGAAAGGACATTCCCTCTCCCAAGGACACACCATGTCCAGGTCCAAGTGAACCAGGGCAAAGGAGCTGAAGATGAACCATCAGGAGCTATACACGACCAGCCTGCTATACCGTTTCCATCCTCTGAAGAGAAACGGAGCATTTAAACTGCTTATACCTTGATACCCAGATATGAACGTTGGTATGATTGACATGGTTATCTGATTTCACACTGGAAAAAAACCCTTTCAGGGACAAATGTCAGATGTGACAGACCCTCAACAGACTCAAATTGCCAAAGAGTGCCATAGTCTTACAGTGCTCTGACTTTGTTCCAGTGTCGTACGTCTGACCTCAACAAGCATCAAACGCTCAAATGCCGAAACTCTCTAAATACGAAACGAATCAACGCAACCCAACCAAGGCCGGTTTCTTCCTTAACAAAGCCTTCAGACTTCCAGCTGGAGCAGAAGAGAGAAGGCAAAGGGAACGTGGCCAGTCTCTGGAGGAGCTAGATAAACCCTCAACAGGGACCTCCTCCTCCAACCAGAGCCACGGCTGTGAGGGGAGGCTTGGCCTTTTGAGCACCCCAACAAGCAGTCAATGCCGTGAAGGGAGAAAGAGCAGCTGAGGTGGGTGGTGGGGTGAGGATGGCTTTAGATATGAGGTCAACGGAATACGGGTTCAGCACACATTCAGGAGAAAGAGGGCAGCCATTCCCTGTGTTTCCAGGCCAGCCAAGACTCCAGATCGGCTCCCTTCTGGGCCATGTTTCCTAGGCCAGCCACGCCGCTCAGGCCATGAACAGCCACGCTGCCGCTTTAAGAAGCCTCCCCTTCCTGCCAGTGCCAAGGAAAAAATTCCATCCTTTTTTTGGTCTCCAGCAGAGTTTTTTCCATCGGCTTCCCAAAACGGCTCCTGGCTTCATGAAAGGAGCATTGTGCGTGCCACATCATTAGGAGC